GCCGGATCAGGTGGTTACTCACAGCTGAGGGTTCTGCACGGTGTGTGACAGCTGCCTGGCTTGCTGGATTGAACTTGCACGGCGAACACCAGAGCATCCCGGGCAACCCGGGACATGCTGGTTTCTGCTTTAGGCCCGTGGAAAGGAGTGGAACGGGCAGCGGGGCAGGAGTTGCTTTGGGGATTTCTGCTAACTACCTGGTGACCTTGGGCAGGTCATTGAGCCTCTTTGGGCTCCAGGTCCTTTACCTGTAACTGGGGATAAGAACAGACTGTTTACCTGGCAGAAGGGATGTGAGGATTCAGGAGCTAAAGTGTGGAGAGTGAACCTCTACTCGAGTTCCCTGGTGCTATTGTTATTATTTTAGTCTTCGTTCTCAATTACAGTGGACATTTGCAGGAGCCATGGGGACTGATTCTACTTGCTTCCTCCCCACGCCTGGCTTTCTCTCCTGTCCCCGTTCTCTCCTTCCCCACCCCATCCTTGCAGAAGTGCCCAGACAACCACAGGCATCACGCATAGCTAGGAAGTGGGCCAGGGCTAACTCCTCAGCACCCAGTTCCTGGCTGTAAGGTTGGCAGGGCTTACTGTGCACCAGAGAGGTTGTGCCACCTGCCTGAGCCATACAGCGGGGGTGGCAGAGCTGGACTGGGACCCTCCTCCGCCTCCTTGTTCATCCTCTGGGCTCTCATCGCGCGTCTCCTTCCGCTTTGCAGAGAAAATCTACATCATGAAGGCCGACACAGTGATCGTGGGGACCGTGAAGACCGAGGCGCCGGAGGGCCGGGGCCTGGCGGGGCCGGCGGGTCCCGAGCTCGAGGAGGACCTGGAGATGGACCATGCCCCACACTACCCGGAGCAGGAGACGGAACCACCTCTGGGCAGCTGCAGGGACGTCATGTTCTCGGTGGAGGAGGAAGGGAAGGAGGACCCCTTGCCTGAGACGGCGTCTGGGAAGTGAGGCCTGGCTGGGACTGAGAGAGCAGCTGGGTGCCCCTGGGACCGGGCGGCACAGTGGGCCACGCTGGTGCAGAGGCCCATCTGCTGACCTGAGTTTCCAGCACCCAGTGGTCAATGCAGGAGGGGCCTGGGGGTCTCTACCTGCATCCCCACCCAGCTGCCCCCACCCTGGCCCTAGGGCAGTGGGCTGTGCAGGGGAGACAACCAGGGTGCTGGATTTGAACGGCAATGTTTGCTGGGGGCAACAGAAAGACAGACAGTAGGGACTGGACGCTTCGCCTCTGCTGCTACTGAGAAGACACCCCAGAGTCCTGGCATGGGCCCCCCGCCCTCCAGGATGGAGCCCACCTGAGGCAGAGGCCATGAGTCCCACACCCCAAGCCTTCTCCCCTCAACTGGGCCCCTGGAGAGATACCCACGGGGCCTTGCTACCAGGCCAACAGCCTGCAGTTACTGTAAACTCGGCCCGCAGTGGCCTCGAGCCAGCGCCAGTGGTTTCTCCTCCGTCAGAAGGGAAACAGAGGGATCGGGCGGCCGGCTGGCCCGTCTCAGCCACTGCGGCCATGCTGTGCTCTGTGCCCTATGCCTGGTGGTGCCCAGCCTGCCTCCAGCCCTGCGTGGGCCGAGGGGGGACCCTCCTGGTGCTGCTCCTTTCCTGTTCTGTGGCCCCACGGTGGGCCCCCGGCCTAGGATCAACTCACTCATCTCAGAATGTCCCTACCAGTCCCAGTGACGGTGGGCCCTTCGGGGTCCTTGCCTGCTCGGTGGGCACCGCCCACTCTGTCCTGGGAAATGAAGATGCCCTTCCCCGGATCTGCCGCCCTCATGGACCCCCATGGCACCAGGCCTGCCTCTTGCAGCAGCTGCTCCGCACCCGTGTTGGGACATGGATGTCAAAAGCCGCGTCTGCCTTATCCTGGGCTTGGGGGGAAGCTCTGCATAGCTCAGTATGGGGTCAGGATGTGTGCATCGCACACTAAGGAATAATCGGTCGGCTGGCCTGCTCGCCCAGGGCTTTCAGACGCGTGTACACAGGCGCGTGGCCTTGGAAAGGGACCCGTGGGCAGATGACAGGGGGCCGCAGGCCGGGCACCGAGTCTCAGGTCGCCGCAGGCTCCTGGAATTACCCGCCGAAGCCAGGCCTGGAAGCTGCTGTTTACACACCAGCCGCTCGTCGCTGGAGGAAGTCGGGGCCGGGTCAGGAATGGCAGGGACACTTTCTGAAACCTCTCAGATATTTTGGGGGAAGTTGGAGCGGCCGTTACACCAGAACCTGGAGAAGTTCATGTGGGATGGGTGATCTTTGCCCAAATGCCCGTGTGGGCGGCTCTGCCCCCGAGCCTCCGTGCCCGGAGTCAGCACGTGCCCAGCACCTCGTGGGCAGGGCTCAGGCTGCCGGTGGCGGCCGCTGACATCTGCTTCATGAAATGACGCACTCCCTCGCCCAAGAGCCCTTCACAGAACACGACCTTTTAAAAATCCACAAAGTTCCTTACCAATGACCATAAGGCTGAGGACTCTCTCATGGAGACTGGGAGTCTTAGAGAAGCTCTGAGGACGGGGATCCCGCCACCCCTCTGCCCAGCCTCTGGGGACAGGGCGCTGCTGCCCGCAGAGCCGCCCCTCCGCCGCCGGAGGGTCCTCCTCCCTGTCACTCCCTCGCCCTGGCCCAGGCCTGCCTCGAGGACACTCCGAATAAAGCTGCTCTACACCAGGCTCCCTGTGGGTGTTTGCAGAAGGGGCTGTGGGGAGAGGCATCACAGAAGCTGCGCAGATGCCCCAGCCTGGGGGTCACAGGGAGGGGACTGAGGGGTCAATGTGAGCCGAGGGCTGCATGTGGGAGGGGGAAGGGCCCACCCCCCGCAGGACTCCAGGCCCCGCCCGTGGTCAGTGCGGGCCCGGCGAATATCCCTGCCCTCCAGGGACAGGGCCTTCTTAGCCTCTGCTGTTCAGATGGGCAGGTGGACCAGGGCCTGCTGCTCAGGGTGGCAGTTCCCAGGGTGCAGGGCACCTCACACACGCGCACACCCCCTTCCTGAACGGCCGCAGTCAGGAAGGAGTGGTAAGTGTCCTGTGGAGGCTGTCATACTCGGAGAAACCACGCTGTCTCCCAGGGCGGTCTCGGAGGTGGGAGACAACTCTCAGTGCTTAAGGCCAGGCCTGCCCCTCAGATGGAGCAGGAGACTCAATCTCGCGTGTCTCCATCCTCCCGCCCCTCCCGTCCTGTCCCAGTCATTGCTGTCCCACAGCCCTAGGGACTGCTCTGCTGGGCCGAACAGAAATGACTGTGCAGAGGCGAGGGGCCGCCCTCCAGCTGAAGTTTCTTGGGTGCCTTCTCACCTCCACTCCTTCCTTGGTCCTCCCTGTCCTCGTGGGGGGCAGGGAGGGGCTGGGGACAGATGGGTGGGGCAGGGACCCGATTCACTCATAGGCCCTTGACCGTATCAGTCCTGCTTGACTGGAAGCCAAGGTGAGAACATTAAACGCTTCAAGGATGGCTACTCCAGCCCACGGAGAAGCTGGCCGAGCCCACCTGGGGCTCCTGTACCCTCCCCAGGCCCCTGGCCCTGGGCCAGCACCCATGCTGGGGCGCACACCTGGGACCCTGCGGGCGGCCCCAGAGCAGCAGGTCTGCAGCGGAAGTGACCGAGGGGGCGGCCAGACAGTGTGCGGAAGGAACTGGGTGGGAATTCAGGCCCAGCTCTGCCACTTAGTGGGGGTGTCTAGGTTAGGTGCCTTGATCTCCCTAGAGCTCAGTTTCCTGATCTGTGAAATGGGCCCAGGGTTGTGGGGTTCCCTTAAACGCCACCTGCCATGGGGCTGGTGTTTGTTGCGTGGCAGCCTCTGTCCTCGGTCCAGCCCAGCGGCCACTTGCCAAGGGTGAGCCCTTCCTGGGTCTGCAGAATTCAGCCCCTCTGACTTACCAACAGGAGGCATCGGGCTGAGAACACTCTTCTCCCAGAAAAACAACATGAAAGCTGGTGGCTGGTTCCGGGCTGGCGTTAGCTTCGGTGAGGCTGACAGGCTTCCAGGCTCCCCTGGGGCCTGGCCTCCCTTGGGGTGTGTTGCTGTGGGACCCCACAGTGGACAGACTGCTTCTTGCTCCGTGGGGCACCCAGAGGACCCCTCATGTCACAGTCACAGGAGGGGCGGTTGGTTAGAAGTCTGTAACTCTGTGCATTTGTGAAGTGTTGCCGGTCCCTCTGCAGGGACATCCTGCTCCTGATTCCAGGGCGTTCCAGGCGGCACCGCGTTGCTGTTCAAAATCTCCTTTCCTCTCCTCCCCTCCCCCATCCCTTCCCATCACACCTGTGATGAGCCAGGCCCGGTCCAGCTGCAGAGGATGCGCTGAGCTCAGACCGCCTCTGTGGGCCCTGTGTCCAGTGGCTGACACCCATGATGGCACAGAACCGAACCTGTGAACAAGTCATTCCAGAGACGATGGGGTTCTGTGCTAGGGGCACCCCAGTTAGGGGACCAGGCAGTGCCTCCAGGGCAGGGTCGGCTCCAGCCAGGTGGCCCAGGAGGTGCCCTTTGAGCTCCACCTGAGTGACATGATACCTGGGGGCCCAGCGACCTGGGAAGTCATGAACCATGGCTGCAAAGGCCCTGAGGTGGGGAGGCTCCTGGCCTTGGGACTCGAGGAGCACACCTGGTGGGAGCACCGGGGCCGGGCGGAGAGAAGGTGAGCAGGCAGGCCGTCAGCCAGGCCATGGAGGGCCTCGCGGGCCATTGCCAGGTGCTCAGATTTTATCGTCAAACGGATGGAGACTTGACTTGGGGTGGTGAACACACAGTACAGTGTACAGCTGATGTGTTGTGGAATTGTGCGCCTGAAACCTGTGTAATTTTGTTAACTGGTGTCACCCTAATAAATTCAATAAAAAGGAAAAGGAAAAAAAAAAAAGAAATAAACGTGAACGAAGAAAAGTTAAAAAGAAAAGACTACATTTATTTTTCCTCCCGTTAGAACAATACACATCCTGCTATTCTCTCAGCGGTGGGCGGGAAAGGCCAGCAAAGGTGGTTTCAGCTGGTTTCAGACAAAGGCTGAGGCTGCTGGTAGCCGGGAAACAGTTGGATGTTTCTCAGAAAGGCCTGTGGGAAGGCTGCTCCCAGCGAATTAACAAGGAACGTAGCAGCTCCGGGGCCAGGCTGCTGTCCCCGGGGGGAGGCTGGCTGGCTGGCAGGCAGTCAGTCTAGGTTCCTCTTTCTCTGGGTGTCTTCCAGAAGAGTAAAAACCAAACCAAGAAATCCTGGGGAGGCCAGGGGCCTTTGTTTGTGTTTGGTGTGGGCAAACTCCCCATCCCATTTCATTAGGGCTCCTGATGTGGGGGGTGGAGCGGGGAGGAAGGAGGAAGGAGCCGTTGGGTCTCAATCTCCAGCTCGAGGAGTTCCCAGCTGCAGGGCCTCAAGCGAAGCCCTTAAGCGCTTTCAGCTTTGGCTTCCTGATCTGCAACCCGTACATGATAATGACTCTGCATTAGGTGGATGGAGGTACAAGGCGTGAGGTCTTGGCCTGGTACCTGGCATGTTCCCTGTTCAGAAACGGTAGTCACCACCAGCAGCCCCCAGAAAGCACCTGAAGAGCTGTCAGGTTTGTTCAAAGCTTTCTACATTCTTCATGCACTTGGGCTTCAGAATCGCAGCTGGAAGTAGATGGGCTGAGTATCAGCACTCCCCTTGACGACCTGAGGCTCGGAGAGGTGAAGCAACCAACCACAGTCACACAGCCAGGAAGCCCCAGAGCTGGAGTTCAATCCCCCAACTCTGTGGTTCCAAGTCCCCCTCTGCCCATGCGCCACCCCCTCTGTGGCCCCCCGCTGTGTTTACATCACAGTTATCAGCAGACGCTATGCCCTCTGGACACGTTTCCTTTCACCTCCAAGTCGCCACAGCTGGGAGGTAGGGAGGAGGTTGATTTTATTCCTCGTTTTATGCAAGAGGCTAGGCAACCTGTCTGAGATCAAGCGGCAGCCCAGCTGTGATTTCTTTCTGACCCTCCTGCCGCAGAGCTAACCCAGCCAGAGCCTCGCTCCTCGGAGCGGCTTTCCTCGAAGGTGGCCTGATTCTGAGACAGGGAGACCCAGGCCTGGGAGGACAGGTGGACAGAGAGCCTCCGCTGGCCAACAATCGGATCGCCTTTCACATCCTCAGAACTCATACCTCGCTCTCTGCCCCATGGCAGGATCCAAGGGCAAGAACAAGCCTCCCCATTCTCCAGATGGGGAGACCGAGCCCTGTAGAGGTAAGGTGGTTTGCCTGAAGCGCCATCTTGGTAAGTTTGGTCCTTGCTGTGTAAGTTGGGACTGGGGTGGGGAAATGGCCATCTAGCCTAGGTGAACAGTAAAGATTATTTGCTGATTCTCAATCTTCCTTTGGAAAAAAAATTGGTGTTAAAGTGAAAGCACCTGTGGTAAGAGCGTTGGGTGTGTATTTATAAAACAGCTTTGTAAGAGCCAAGTGGTCCCCATAGACCAGTGGTTCTCAACCTTGGCTGCACATTAGAATCACCTGGGAATCTTTTTAAAATCCTGATTTCTGGGCCCATGGGATTTTAAAATCAGGATTTTAAAAAGATTCCCAGGTGATTCTAATGTGCAGCCAAGGTTGAGAACCACTGCCCTAGTCAGACAGAAAAGCACAGACAAGAAGCAGGACGCCTGCCACCTCCTGGCCCTCCGGCCCGTGCTGTCCCGCAGCGTCCCTGCCGAGAAGGGCCGAGCCTGGTTCATACTCTGCTGTCACCATCTGGAAAATGATCGACACGCTTTGAACGAGGGGCTCTGTGTTTTCATCTTCCCTGGGTCCCGCACATGACGTAGCCGATCCTGCACCGGGGTCAGGGGACTTGTCTGGTCGGAACTTAATGCCAGGGCCCTTCATTTGCATCCCCGCTGACCTCCCAGTAACCATGGTTACAGGTGAGCACGTGGCTTCCCAGGTCTCCAAGTGTTGACTGGCTGGTGACTGACCTTAACTGTCCCAGTGGTCTCTTGTCACCTCACAACTGAGTGGCTTAAAACAACACTAGTCATTTATTTCGCTCACACATCTGCGGTTGGGCCTGGCTGGCTGGGGAAGGCTCATCTCTGCTCACAGCGCCAGCTGGCACCGGGCACTGCACTGCTGAGGCGGCTGGCAAGCTGGGGCGCGCCGTGGGCTCCTCGCAGCATGGTGGCCGGGTTCCTAGAGCGAATGACCCAGGGTAGGAAGCGGAAGCCGCCAGGTTCTGAATATTTGGGCCCAGGCGCGGTATCACTTTTGTCCCATTCCATTGGTCCAGCAGTCTCCGCGCCCAGATTCACAGGGAGGGGATGTAGAGCGTCAAAGACGCGTGAGTTCTCTGTGTCAGGCACTGCCCTGAACGCTTCCGTTGCCTCATTTCATTCTCCTGATACTTTAGTGCTTAGCGTCCCCAGATTTGCCTCAAGGAAGTGAGATAACCTGGCCAAGGCCGCCTGGCTGCAATTTGAATCCAACTGTCTGTCTCCCCCGGAGTGTGAACTCTGGACCACGGGGGCCCCAGCAGTCAGCACCGGGCAGGGCCAGCATTCAAACCTGCATTCGAGAACATCGAGGCTTTCAAAAACATCAGCTCCAAAGCTCTCATTTTCCAGTTGGGGAAACTGAGGCTCCGACAGGTCTCGTTGGGCCTCCTCTGAGAAGGAGGGCAGGGCCCGGCACCTTCCCGGGCAGGATGGGCCTCCACCCCCGGGCCACGCGGAGCCTGGTCAGGAAGCCGCAGCGCTGTGGGCAGATTATGCAAGAGCAGG